ATAATATGTTTTATTTTTATATCCTAAGGTTAAATTTTTTTTCACCGTCAGAAAAATTCATAAAAAATTTTAATACTCGGTTTAAAGAAAGAGCACTACATAAAATAAATTTTGCTACTTTCTTCTGCTTTTTATTGCATATCCCTTTCTAAAATCAAAGGTATCCATCCCCCTATAACAACAATCATCAAATAGTATAAGCCAAAAAACGTTAAGGTGTAATATTTGTGCAGCAAAAAAATTCCATAAGCAATTTAGTAAACAGCGCTTCTGTATTTTAATAGCATTACAAATTTAAAAAAAAAGGAAATAAAAAATAAAAGAAAGAATAAGCACTACTGGATGCGAACCTGAGTTTCCAATTCCATCACTTTCTGACGCATTTCTTTCAGCTCAGCAACGGTATCAGCTTCACGAATACGAATACCCATTAATTGATCTTCAAGTTCCCTCAACGTTAGAGCATCTAAAAAGTGCAAACAACTTTGTTTTTTGCACATAAAACAAAAAAAAAAGAACAAGAAAAACAGATATTTAAAAAAGCAAAAGTTTTAGAAGACTAGCTTACTGTATTCAGCATCATTGTCGTTAGTATCCGAATTTCCAACTCCAATCAACGATGCCGTAAGTTTTGCTAAACGTTGTCGGGCAGTTTGTGGAACATTCGATGGTGATGATTGTTGTGGATGTGAATCTATCAAAAAGACATCATAAATCTTATCTTCTTCCAAAGTTAAACAAACATTAAAGGCCATTAAATAGCCAAAAAAAAGTGTATCCAAAAACTAGTTTGCCAAAAAAATTTAATAAAACAACAATGTTACTTTGTGGATGAGATGAAGCATCCGTTCCATGTGTACCGGCAGATTTTTCGTTCGAACCCCCCGGATTTTCCTGGGATTTTGAGGAGCCATATGTATCGTTGCTTCTTTTTTGCACATACTTCTGGAAAAAAACTGTTGGTATCCAATTTTTCAATAGGTGAATAAGTAAGTTTGCACAATAAAATGTTGACTTTGACTGTTATGTTCAACAAAGAAGAATTTTAAGCAAAGAAAAAAAACAGAGTAAAGTAAGACAGAAAACAACTCAGATAATTTAATACGTTTGTTCGTTGATCAAATATTACAAACAAAAAATGAGCGACACATAACCCTGCCGTATTGTTCCCTTTAAATTCATTTTTTCAACTTTTGCTTTTTCCTTCTCTTCTTCCTTACATCTTCAATTTCGCTAACAATAACAATCCAAAAAAAACGTAACTGCAGTCATAAAAGTGCTTTTTTTGCCCTCTTTTACCTCTTTCAATGCCTCTTAGTTGCTAAATAAAACAGAGTAATCTGGCAAAAATAAAATAAAATTTTTTCTTAATGTTTAAAAAACACATGTCCTAACCCAATCTCCTCCAAAACGAAAAAAAAAGGTACTAAATTTTTAAAACTACTGTAAAACTGAGCAAACATTCGTGTCCAAATGAAACAGATAAAACTTCACCGACCAATACCCCCCAACGAAGTAAACCCATTTTGCTTAAGCTACTCAACCAGTCAGACAGTCATATGTTCATTTTTTTACCGTCAACCATCTGGTTAATATACACACATATATGCACACAAAATATTAATGAAAATTCAGCTTTTTTAATAAGCTAAAAAGTGCCTAGTCAAATATCAGTTTACAATAAAAAAGAAACAAAAAATAGAAAGAAAGAAAGAAATTATTATAATATTTGCACAAAAAACGCTTTACTTTTTTTTCTGGAAAAAAATAAAGATGGGAAAAATAATTCTTTTTTTTTTTTTTTTTTTTTTTTTTTTT